TGTAGGTTCATTCTGGCCGCAGAGGCAGCAGGGTTGGAAACTAAGCTCAATACTTGAATTTCGGGGGCTGGATCGACAGTACAGCAGGTAGGGCATTTGCCTTGCACGTGGTGAGCCCGGGTTCAATCCCTGGCACCCCATAGCACCGCCAGGAGTAATTCCTGAGTGAGAGCCGGGAATAACCCCTGAGCATCGCTGGGTGTGACCCAAAAAGCAAAAAAAAAAAAAAGACTTGAATTTAGATATGGGCGATTCACTGGTGACCTCAACACGCACAGATATTGATGAGGCAGCCAAGAAGGAAGCACGTTGACTTGGAGTGGGTTTGAAGTTGGAGGTGAGGCAGGCAGGTGAGGCAGACAGCTATAGAAACTCCCCACCCTCCAAAGAATTCATGAGAAGTAATAAAATTGACAGCTCCAAGGCTGCTAAAAAAGAAATTAATTCATAGAGCACAGGAACTAAGGCCTGATAAGACCTGGCTCAGACCCAGAGCAGGCTGGGTGCCACCTTGAGAGAAGCTCCAGCAGGAACCAAGGCCAGGAAAGGAATTCCAAGGAAGACTGTCAATTGCTCCCAACTCTACCCCTTGGCACCCACCCTAGAAACGAACTCTCATGTGGGTAGAAATTCCCACGACGTGCAGCTTGGGAGAAAGCCTGGACAAGCCAACTGGTACAGAGGAAGCATGCACAGATGCTGCCCGAGCCCATGTGCCACCTGTGCCGAGTGCTGTTGTTGGCACATGTGAGGCCCAAGCACATGTGCTGACTGAATCTGCACTCTTGAGATGCACGTTTGTGTACCTGCATCCCTTCATACCATAACGCTGGGATGTGTCACGGGGTCTCCTTTACTGTGAAGCAGCCTGCGTTCTCTCTTGGGCACATTATTCTCTCCCCCCTCCACCCCACTTCCTCAAAACTTCTAAAGAAATCCTGCTCTACTTCACTGCCCATCTCCTCCTGGAACTCTTTTCTGATAGGTCAAGACAACAGAAACAGAAGGCCTAGGGAAGGTCTAGGACGAGCTTCCCTTTCCTGCAAGGAGCAAGGCTCACCGCAGACTCTTCTCACTACTAGGCTTCCCCGGCTGTTTCCTGGGTGGCAGAGGTGGGTAGAGAGAAAATGCAGTTTCCTCCTTGAAGCAGCTGCTTTGCTCTCCCCGCAGGACATAAGTCACCGGGGACGCCCACCAGCCTGAGAGGCAAATCTGGAATGGAAAAGTTTTCTATAAAGGAGATCTGGGGAGAAGTCTTCCAAAGAGTAAGGATGGTGCATGATGTTTGGAATTCCTTGTATTTCCTTGGACTCTTGGATGAGTTGGTCAGGCAGTTTGATCACAGAGAAGGCACAGGGGAGAGCAGGAAGATCACATTTCCTGTAGTCCCAGGTACTGGAGAACAAGAAGTCCCCGGGGGCCACTGAGGCAATGGGGAAGGACAATGAGTTGCGGGAGGGGGGGGCAGACGACAGGAGAGCAGGGCTGGAGCCATAGCAGGGTGTTTGTCTTGCTCAAGGCCTGCCCTGGTTTGATCCTCGACACCTCATAGGGTCCCCCAAGCATCAGCAGGAGTGATGCCTGAGCACAGAGCCAGGAAGAAGCCCTGAGCACTACTGGGTGTAGCCTCCCCAAACAACAACACAAAAACAAATTTAAAAAAGAAGGGAGGATGGGGCATGAGCTCAGGGCATGGCCTTTATTGGGCTTACCAAGGAAGAGGCAGAAAAGGTTTGGGGTTTGTGGGCTGGAATGATTTCAGTAGGTTCTGGGTGAGATGGGTACTCTCTGCATGGGTGGTACCTGGTCCTGGGGTGATTCGGGAACGGACTGTTGGGAAACACAGCCCCAGAGAGGAGTTAAGACTCTATGTTGGATTATTTGTTTAACAAAGGGGTGTTCCAGGCTGGGTCGTTGGCTGTCTCTTAGAATCAGTGAGTTTCTTCTTCGGTTTGGTTTTGAGGTCGTTCCCACGCTATGCTGGGATCGCTGGAGAACAAGCAGAGCCAGGAACTGAACTCAGGTCTCTTGCACACACAGCATGCACTCGAGCCCATCTCTCTGACCCTGAACAGAGTGCGCCACAGCCTACACAGCAGGGGAGGCCTCAGGGAAAATCAGCTCTCACACAGGTCAGGCACTTCCTGCCCCCAGAAGCATCAGAAGCATCTGAGCTAATGGAACATAACAAAGAGCCCAGAAATGAACTCCTGGGGAGTTCGAGAGTTAATTTTCAACAAAGGAGCCAAGATGGAGAAAGAAAACGGGTTAAGAAAATAGGTAAGCCATGGCCTTGGATCACTATCTTACGCTAGGTGCAGAAATGGACTCAGAAGGACTAAGGACTTAGATGTTAGACTTGAATCCACAAACTACATTGCAGAAAACATAGGCATTGGCTTCATTTGTCTTCAGGGATGCAACTCTATTGGCAAGGAAAACAAAAGCAAACTTTTCTTTTAGATGGAATTAAATCACATCAAAAAGTTTCTGCACAGAGAGGAGTATCACACATATAAAAATTGTAATGTTCGTAAGAAAGTATTCACATATCTTACACCTGACATGAGGCTAATACCGAAATATTAAAAACACTCAAAAAACAAATAGCATCATCAAAAAATGAGAAGAGCTGAACAGACACTTCTTCAAAGACAATATGGACATAAAGCAATATTCCTCATGGGGCTGGAGCAATAGTACAGTGGGTAGGGCATTTGCCTTGCATGCAACTGAACTGGGTTTGATTCCCAGCATCCTATATGGTCCCCTGAGCACCACCAGGAGTAATCCTGAGTGCAGAGCCAGGAGTAACCCCTGAGCATTGCTGGGTGTGACCCAAAAAGCAAAAAAAGAAAAACAACAACAACAAAAACCCCCTCATTACTGATTATCAGGGAAATGGAAATGCAAATTGAAATGACAATGCCTATCCGGTATCCTCCCATCCTTGTGATAATGGTCTACACCAAAAGGCCAGAAGCAGAAAGTGCTGTTGGAAAAGAAACCTTGTTCACTTATGATAAGAATAAAATTGGTCCAGCCTCTAGGGAAAACAGTATGAGATTTCTCAAAACATTAAAAGTATGTAACTACCATCTGATGCAGTAATTCCATTTTTGGGTATCGATCCAAAGAACTAAATAAATTTGATTTTTTAAGGGGCATTAGGGCCACAGCTAGAGGTGCTCAGGGCTGACTCCTACCCTTCTGCTAAGGGATCACTTCTGGCAGTGCTCGGGGAACCACTTGTGGTGCTGGGCACAGAACGGAGTCAAACATGCAATAGGCAAGCCCCCTGCCTGCTGTGCTATCTCTCCGGTCCCCCCCAAACCATGAATTATAAGCTATATTACCACACTATTTATAATGGGCCAAGATATACTACTAATTTATAAGAAAAGATGAAGTCTTTTTGTTGTTGTTACTACAACACGGATAAAACTGGAACGTGTCATGGAGTTAAGCCAGCAGGTGGGAGACAAATGCCAGATGATCTGGCCCACAAGTGGTAGATAAAGACAAAAAAGCAAGGGAACAGATGATGTGCACTGAACACAAGCCCTTTCACGGACGGCAGACCGAGGTTACCTAAGGTGGGGGAAGGGAAGGGTTCAATGAGCAGCAGAGGGATACTGGCACTTTGGTGGTGGGTGTGCTATTGTAACACCAAACCTCTGAAACAAATCAGCACTTACACTTTTATAAACTACTGTTACTTCAAAAATTAAAAAATACAAAAAGCAACAGAAACACCAATTTTTCTAACCATTGTAATCCATTTTTTCCCCTAGGTTGATTTGTGAAGGTTGACTAATACAAGAGATAAAGTACATCATTATTTAGTGACGGACAAATTGGAGTGCTTAGCAAAAGCACTCAGGTGGGCAGAAGTTGGTTCCTCATTCTTTCAGGGTTTCCCTTCAGAGACATATTTCCAAAGATTCAGTGATAATTATGAAAGAAGCAACTGAAAATGGAACATACCTTTGCATGATCTAATCCATTTTCAGGGGAAAAAAGAGGCATAATTAGGAGGGGTCGGGGTCAGGGTGTATGGTAGGGGAGAGAGGAAAGGGAGAGAAGGGAGGGAGGAGAGAGTGAAGGAATGAGAGAGAGAGAGACAGAGAGAGAAAGAGAGAAAGGAAGGGGAAGAGAGTGGGAGAGACGGGGGGGTGGAGGAGAAAGAGAGAAGAAAAGTGCCTGCCATGAAGGCAGATTGGGGTGGGGGATGGCAGGAAGGAAACTGGGGACATTGGTGGTGGGAAATGTACACTGATGAAGGGATAGGTGTTGGAACATGGTATGACTAAAACCCAACCAGCAACAATATTATAACTGTCTATCTCACAGTGATTATGGAGCGATAGCACAGCGGGTAGGGCGTTTGCCTTGCACGTGGCCGACAAGGCAGACCTGGGTTCGATTCCTCCACCCCTCTTGGAGAGCCCAGCAAGCTACTGAGAGTATCTCGCCGCCCAAATCTGCCAAACACAGTAACAACAAGTCTCACAATGGAGACGCTACTGGGCCTGCTCGAGCAAATCGATGAACAATGGGAGGACAGTGACAGTGACAATAAAAAATTAAAATTAAAATAAATACAAAATGAGAGAGAGAGAGAGAGAGAGATGCACAGAATCTTCAAAAAATAAGATTACCCAGCCCCTCAATACTTTCTTCCAGTTTCTGTTCCAAGTGCTACTTCTTTGACCCATGCTGGCTTCCCCATTTCACCCTGCTCTGAATTTGTACATATCTGATTATACGCATCATGTCTCCTTTGGTGCATGCTTCAGCTGTAGTATGAATAGTATAGTATGTCCTGGAAGGCACACCCTGTAGACCGTTCCCAGTAGAAAGTATCCACAGAGCTGAAGAGAAGGAGTGGAGGGTGGGTGTCCCTGTACTGAAATCAGTCTGCACGATAGCCGTGGGTCTCTCTGTGCTGGGGCAGGAGGGCAAGTAAACCCTGGCAACATCTAACCCGAGACACTTACTCCTGGGGCCTCGCCTGGGGGCTGTGTGTAGCAGGCTCACGTTGGAATCCCCAGGCCCTGGTTCTGGTTCCGGTTCCGGCTCCAGGTCTGGCTCTGGCTGGCTGCCAAGATGGCCTTTGTCCGACGCCATGTCCCCGGGACCAGCAGGCTGCAGCTGTGGGGAGAGGGGTTTCAGTGAACTCAGTCCCTAGATGGGGGGTGAGTGGATCACTCAGAGCTATACCACTGTCACCCCAGTTACTGGGGTCATCCCTGGGAAGCAGTGTTGACCTTGAGTTTCTCTAGGAGGTTTCTTGGGAAAGGATCAAGTATCCCCAAATAAATCTGGTCACTGTTTTCGATGTGTGTGGAGATCCACAGAAACGTGGAGGAGAAACGTGACGAGCAAAGTCACGACCAATCTATCTCCAACTCGATTTCATTTGGAAACAGCTCCCGAATGTCCCTAGGTAATCCAGAGTGAAGAATCACCTCCTGTCCACCCCCAGACTCTGGGGGCTGCGGGAGCATGTGAGCAAAGGGATGGTGTATCCCCAGTTCAGGATGGTCTTGAGGATAAAGGCTTGCTTTGGGAACCAGTAACTTTTGAAACAGCAACTTATTTGGGGGCCAAACTGCTAATGCTCTCACACCTTGTGGTGCTGGGGATGGCGGCGTATGCAATGTCGGAGATCAAGCCAGTCAGCCGCTTACAAGGCAAGTGCCTCATCCCCTGTCCTAATTCTCTGGCCCATTTATTTTATTTCAGATGTTTTTTCGGTTTGGGGCCACACCTGGCAGTGCAGGGTTACTCCCGGCTCTGCACCTAGGAATTAGTTCTGGTGGTGTTTGGGGGACCAGGTGAGATGTCTGGGATTGAACCTGGGACTGCCACATGCAAGGCAAGCGCCCCTCTGTGCTCTCTGGCCCATCCATTGCCTTCTATCCCTACGAGGAGAAAACGAGCCCTTCACTGAGATAAGAATGAGCAGCAGGTGAGTGAAGCAGAGATTCTGCCCTCAAGTGGCTCTGGGCAGGCCTGAGGAAACTGATTGAAAAAGAGTAAGTCCTCTGGTGACGGAGATGCTAGGTCAGGGGTTACGACTTTTTGCACAATTCTTGACAATAGCCAAGAAAAAGAAACAACCCAACTTCCCAAAGACCAGACAGCTGAGTGGCTGAAACAAGGTGTATACAGAGAGAGAGAGAGAGAGAGAGAGAGAGGAGAGAGAGAACTTTGGTCCACACTATTCCTGCCTTTTTTCAAAATATATCAATAACTTGTTATTATCTTCTGTTCAAAATTAGTCCAGTTTCTTGACAACTCTGGGGTTTTAAGAGTACAGGCCCAGCCGCTTCATGTCTATCACCACCCATGCCCACCAAGGAAATGCCACCACTACCCCCCACAGTCCACTGGACCCCATCTCCCTCCAGCTCTCGCGGGTCACATTCAAGGCTCGCTTTTGGGCTTGGGTCGGGTCTGGTTCCTTGCTTTGTTGCTTGATCTCCTACAGATGCATGAAGCCATCTGTATTTCTTTTGCTCTTTCATTTCTTCTAGCATGAACCCCTCCAGCTCTGGTCCTCGTCACAAAGGCAAGATTTTCTCTTAGCGTTGTGTGCGTATGTGTATGGGTGTGTGCCTTGCGTGTGCGCGTGTGCACGTATTTTTGCTTGTGTGGGAGTGTATGTGTGTGCGCGTGCGCGTATGTGTGCGGCGCTGCACCCCTTGGTGCCCGTGCCTGTGGCCTTGGCGGGTTAAAGCTCAGGAATGAATGACTGTGGGGCTGGGGGCGCTGTGACGTGGTTCGGATGCCCCTCCCTAGGTGCAGAGAAACTCCACAGCTCCAGGATGCCCCCCCCCCCGTCCTCCCCTCCCCCGCCCGTGCTGAGCCCGGGGCCCAGCGTGCAGGGCCGCTTCCTCGCCTCGCCTCTCACGGGCCGCCCCCAGCCCCCGGGTCCCCTCTCGGGGGGCCCCCATCACGTGCCTTAAGATGGCGCTGCCTGCCCTGCGTCCCGGGCTGGCACCGGGATCCGTTCCCGCACTCCCACGCGCCCCCGTGCCCGCCAGCAGCCGCGGCCCGGCTCCTCCTGGCCGGCCCCACCCCGCGCTAGATGCGTTTACCTGCACCGGGGAGACCGCGCGGCAACGCTCCGCACACCGGAGGGCGCGTCCTGCAGGGCGGGAGCTTGGGACGGGGCGGGGGCGAGACTGGAGGGAATTTCGGGGCTCCGAGACGCCGGCGGCTGCTCCCCAGCTCTGCGGTCCTGCACTGCCCTCTGCCGCCGAGGGCCGCGAGGACAGTGCTGAGTCCCCGCGCCTGCTGAGCCGGGCGCCTACTAAGCCGCAGAGAAGCAACCCCCCCCCCACCCCCCACGAGCTCCACAGCACCTGCTCCCGGACAGGGAAGGGCCCCCGGGGCTCCACAGCACCTGCACCCGGACAGGGAAGGGCCCCCGGGGCCCCACAGCACCTGGACCCGGACAGGGAAGGGCCCCCAGGGCCCCGCAGCACCTGGACCCGGACAGGGAAGGGCCCCCAGGGCCCCGCAGCACCTGCTCCCGGACAGGGAAGGGCCCCCAGGGCCCCGCAGCACCTGCTCCCGGACAGGGAAGGGCCCCCAGGGCCCCGCAGCACCTGCTCCCGGACAGGGAAGGGCCCCCAGGGCCCCGCAGCACCTGCTCCCGGACAGGGAAGGGCCCCCAGGGCCCCGCAGCACCTGCTCCCGGACAGGGAAGGGCCCCCAGGGCCCCGCAGCACCTGCTCCCGGACAGGGAAGGGCCCCCAGGGCCCCACAGCACCTGCTCCCGGACAGGGAAGGGCCCCCAGGGCTCCACAGCACCTGCACCTCAACAGGGAAGCACCTCCAGGGCTGCCCGCAGCACTTGCACCTGGACCGTCCCTGCGATGCCCACCTCTCCCCGGAAACCAGACACACACGTCCCTTCCACGTCTTTCCTCCTACCTGCTTCTTCCGCTTCTGCCTTGGCACCTTGGAGAACTTTTTCTGTTGGCCCTCCTCCGCCTCATCTTCAAGGAACTCCTTTGTAAGAGGGAAAAACAAAAGGCAGAGCAGTCACTGTGTGGCCTTGGGGGGAGGATCACGGGGAGAAGGAGCAGGGTGGTTTTAGGCGTTTTGGGTGCAAATTCAACACCCCCGGGGCACGTATGGGAGAAGGGACAGCTGGCCTAGGTAGGCCTCCGCCCCAGCAGACGAGAAAGAGGAAATGTCCTCGGAAGCATCGAGAAGGGGATCGAGAGCCATTGCCGCCCTCCTCCCGATTTTCCTCCAAGCACAGAACATTGATTCAGAGCTCCTGTGACCCCCAGGCTCCCGGGATGCAGAGCTGCTCCTCTGAGAGCCCGTGAGGGACCCTGCCAGACGGAGCCCCCGGACTCAGCCTAGTGTGAGTTGCCGCCAGCCCCTCCGCTGCCCCAGTTTACTCTAGGGTAAAGACTGTCCCTGTGAACCCGCCGGAGATAAGGGGAGAGTGGCAGAGGAGAAGGGAGCAAGGGGATTCAGACACTTCGGTGGTTTTTAAGGAAGGATGGAGCAAAATATCCCATCACAGAGTCCATCACAGAGAGTTGATAACCAAACTTAGAGGGTGCCAGTCCAGGTGGCAGGCTGGGGCTGGGGTGGGGCAGGAGGGGACCTGGGAGCAGCGAGAAGGGAAGTTGACTCTGGTGGGGAGATCAGAGATGGAACATTGTATTCAGAAGCCCAGCTTGGAATAACTTTGTAACTCAGGATGGAATCTCGTGTGTCAAACCCCACCCCACCCCTATGAATAACTTTGTAACTTGTAACTTTGTGCTTTAATTTATTTTTTTTAAATTATAGCACTGTAGCACTGTTCTTCCATTGTTCATCCATTTGCTCTAGAGGGCACCAGTAATGTCTCCATTGTGAGACTTCTTGTTACTGTGTTTGGCGTATCGAATACATCACGGGGAGCTTGCCAGGCTCTGCCCTGCAGGTGGGATACTCTTGGTAGCTTGCCGCGCTCTCTGAGAGGGGCAGAGGAATCGAACCCAGGTCGGCTGCGTGCAAGTAAACGTCCTACCCGCTGTGCCACATCTGGCATCCCTTGGCGGGGGGGCTCCTCTCCTGAAGGTTCCCGAGGGGTCAACTTCAGTGTTGTGGGAGACTCTTGAACTCCAGTTGGCCACAAACAAGGCAAGTCTCTCCAGCCCCACAGGTTTTATGTATGTATGTATGTATGTATTTATTTTGAGAAAGGAGAAATCCTCTAAAGAAAAGGCCTCCCCCTGTTATGCCTTCTATAGTTAAAGCTGAATACTCTAAATTGCTCTGGCTTTAAACTTTTCTGGAGTTTTTCAAACTGGGGCGCAAGTACTTTAGGGTGTAAAGAAATGTGAAGGAAAACACTGAATCCCTCCTTGCATCTTAAATATACTGTCACCGTCACTGTCACTGTCCTCCCGTTGTTCATTGATTTGCTCGAGCGGGCCCAGTAACGTCTCCACTGGAGACTTTGTTGTTACTGTGTTTGGCATATCGAATACATCATGGGTAGCTTGCCAGGCTCTGCCATGGGGGCGAGATACTCTCGGTAGCTTGACAGGTTCTCCGAGAGGGGCGGAGGAATCAAACTCGGGTCAGCCATGTTGGCTGCATGCAAGGCAAACACCCTGCCGCTGTGCTATCGCTCGCTCCGAGGACAGGTTGCACGCGGCCGACCTGGGTTCGATTCCCAGCATCCCATATGGTCCTCTGAAATATACTGAAATTTTATTACTGTTTATTAATCTATTTTTGTTTGGGGGTTACACCCAGCAGTGCTCAGGGGTTTCTCCTAGCTCTCTGCTCAGAGATCACTCTTGGCAGAATGCTGGGGACAGTATGTGGTGCTGGGGATCTTGATATATTAGGCATAATTTTTTTTAAAGTTGGAGAGATAGTGTAACAGGTTGCCTTGCATGTGGCTGACCTGGGTTCAATCCCTGGCACCACATGTGGCCCCCCAAACAAACAAAAATGTTTAAATATGCAAACAGAGAACTAGGAATATGGATTTTGGTGATGTTGAATATAGAGAAAAGTCTTGCAGTTTTCTGGTCCAGATTCTAAGTCATATGATACTCGTGGCCTTGGCATGAGAGAAGATGGGATCTACGGACAGAGGAAGAGAGTGGGTCTCAAGCAGGGGTTGCCCTGGGGTGGGGGGCTTTTCCATCTGTGAGTTCTCTGCCTCAGCCTCAGGGCAACGATCCTTCTGACTCAGGTCTCATTCTGGAGAACCCCAGGAAGAGTTTTAAGTCTGGAAGCTACCACTGGGATTCCAGCACGATGAAGGGTCAAAGTGTGTTCTTAGTTTGAGCGCAAACTCTTCTTGCTGCCCTGGGGCTGGGAGAGAGCTAGGTCTATTCATTTTGTCCGCCCCCCCCCCCCCCTTATGTTTGGTGTCTCAGCAATGGATAACCCGTAAGATCTCAAATGAGAAGCAACGTAAAACTGCAGGACGGAGGGTTTCAGTCACTCACTGCATCTCTATAGACCCGGAAAATATTTGTTGCATAAATAAATAAGCACATGTAGACTGATGAGCTTGTTAGCGCTTAAAGTTTTGTGATTTAATTCAAAATTTTTTTTTAATTTTATAAAGTATTTCAGGGTGCTTGCCTTGCATGCGGCCGACCCAGGTTTGATTGCTCTGTCCCTCTCGGATAGCCCAGCAAGCTACTGAGAATATCCCGCCTGCATGGCAGAGCCTGGCAAGCTCCCCGTGGCATATTTGATATGCCAAAAACAGTAACAATAAGTCTCACAATGGAGATGTTCCTGGGCCTGGTCGAGCAAATCGATGAACAATGGGAGGACAGTACTACAGTGCTACAGTTCAAATATTTGATCGCGTTTCCTATTCAGACACCAATTTCACCATCATTGCCCCTTCCCACCACCATATTTTGGATGTTCCCATCCAGAACCCCAATCCTTGCCCCAAAGCAGAACTGAAATAATATATTTTGTATTATTTGTTATGAAAAACCACTGAAAATGTTATAAAAACGTTTCCTTAGGGGAAAGAGTGTGAAGATTATTGTATTTCACTGAGGGGGCCATTAAGCCCTTCTATAAGAGATGACTAACATGTTCTTAGAGGTTGAGCCTTGTGTGCTTACATATATACGTATATATATACATACATATATACATATATAGAGTAAAAATAATTTTCCTCTAATATTGGTTGCCTTCTATTTTGAACTCCATCAAATGTGGCGCAGTACCCTTGGAGTATGGGTAGGGTGTGTGGTATCAAGTGTCGCCACGGCTAAAGTTTTGTTTAAAGTTGATCTACATGGACTTTGCGATGTGTTTCCTCAAAACCTTTGGAGAACTCTGTTGAAAACAGCTGAAAGGCCGTTTCTACCTCTGTGTCTCGTGTCCCTGAGCCCTTGAGCCCAGGGAGAAGCCAGGATTGAGAGCATTTCTTCTTTTCCTCCTCTGCTGGGCAATGTATTTCACTCTGGTGCAGTGGGAGGTTGGGAACTTCCTTCCTGCTCCAGGCAGCCAGGCAATACCATTTGCACACCCATGCGACAGAGGGTTTTGAGTACCTGCAATTTCTCTAGAAATCAGAATTTCTTTAGAAACCAGGGTGCATCCGCAGCCCAGACTCCTTCTCCGTGGTGTTAAGTTACTACTGTTGGAATTGAGGCAAATGTGACTAAGATGTTGAAGGATGTTAAGTAGAGGTGGAACCTGGGGGTGTCCACAGCACTGCTCAAGCTTCTGTCTATGCGCACAAACTTACCTCGGTGATTATTTTCACTTTTTCTTCTTTAGCGTTCATTTTGGCCGGCCTGAATGAGTTGGCTGTACCTCCACTAGAAAAGAACAAAGAGGAAAAGAGGCATTTTGTCATCAGTGGAATTCTCTCTTCTTCTTGGGAGTGTTGGGGGCAGGAGGGCGAGTTTCTCATCACTAGGACGATGGACTTGCAGACGCAGGGCTGGCAGAGAGGAGGGCTGGGGAGAAGGAGGAGCCTGGCACCTGGTGAGCTGGGCAGTGAACCTGTGTCCTTCGAGCCCAGGGCCCTGGCTGGACCCACACCCAAGGGACTGTCTCATAGCGCTCTCGGCCCTCAGATCTCCGCCTCCCCTCCACTGCTCACTCTACCCTTAACCCTGGTTCTCATTTCCAGAGCAAAGGGATGCGACCAGAGAGGGTTTCTGCATCCTCCTTCCGTCTGCCTGCCAAGTGACTTGGGTCACCCCTGGGACTGACCCTGCTTTCCCTTGAAAAAGGGAAAGGCTCCCAATTGAATGGATTGATCCTTGGGCACGGGATCAATCCATTCAATCCTTCCCGCCTCTGGGACCTTGAGCCAGACAGGTCCTGTCCACTCGTTCCACCCACCTCTTCCACCCAGACAATCACTTCTTCCTGCTCCATTGGCTCATTCCTATTGGTACCCAAAGGGCTGTGACTGGTTCCTTCTTTTGCTTTTTCTTTATTGAATCACTGTGATATAGACCCTTAAAAATCTGTTCATGATTGGATTTCAGTCATGCAGTATCCCAACACCCCTCCCTCCACCAGTGTACATTTCCCAGCACCAGCGTCCCCAGGTTCCCTCCCATCACCCCCCTCTATGGCAGGTGCATTTCCTCTCTCTCTGCCTCTGTCTCTGTTGGCTCTTTATTTTTAAAATACTCTTTTGGGCCCAAGAAAGACTACAAGGGTTGTCTTACATGTGGCCAAGCCTGGAGAAGCTTCTGAGCACAACCGAATGTAGCCACAAAATTAAAATATCTCTATCTCTATCTCTATCTATTATAACCTCTCTCCTGGGCCAGAGAAATAGTACAGGGGTTAATATACTTACCTTGGACATGGCTGACTAGAGTTCGGTCCCTGACACCCCATATTGTCCCCCAAGCCTCATCAGGAGTCATCCCGGAGCACAGAACCAGGAGTAAGCCCTGAACACCACAAGGCTACAAAACAAAACCAAAAACCCAACTCTCTCCTGACTTTACTTCCTAACCATTGCTCAATTATTCAGTCCTCTGCAGACCTCTACAAACCCTCTCTTGTCAACCAGTCCTGGAACCCCACTTAATGCGATTGCTCTTGGCAGGGCCTCTAGATACCCCTCAGTCACTACACAGTGGTTCATCTTTGGCCTGTTTGACCTGTCAGAGGCATTGACTGACCCATCACTTCCTTTTTCTTGAAACCTTTTCTCTATTTGACTTCGAGGTCGGACTCCAGCTGAATCTCACGAAGACAATGTTTATGAGAAACAGTCTCGTTCCTGACGTTCCATTCGCTCTCAATGGAACGATCATCTCTGAATGCAACAGTTATGTGTACCTAGGTCGAGAAGTCAACATGACAAATGACCTGGCACCTGAGTTGCACAGGAGGAAGAGAGTGGCTTGGAATGCCTTCAAGAGTGTTGAAGAAATAGCTAAGAGGATGAAGAACCTCTGGCTCTGGGCACATCTCTTCAATTCCACTGTTCTTCCTGCATTAACATATGCCTCAGAGACCTGGGCCCTAAGAAAACAGGATGAGAACGCTATTAGGGTCTCCCAAAGAGGAATTGAAAGAGCTATGCTTGGAGTATCATGTTTCATTCAAATCAGAGAAAGAATCCGGAGTTCCAACCTCGACCTCCGTGGAAGGTCAAGAATCAGGGATACTGTCTTGTTTGCCAAGGTTGAAAATCAGATGGGCTAGTCATGTAATGAGATTTGAGACGACTGCTGGACTAGAGCCATTACGACTGGATTCCACGGGATGTCAAAAGACTGCGTGGCCACCCACCTACAAGATGGTCAGACTTCTTTGTCAAGACCCTGAATGATCGATTTGAGGCTCTTCGTGTTCCTAGAACAAACAGATAACATTGGGCTACAGTAGCACGCGACAGGGACGAATGGAGACGTTACTGGTGCCCACGTGAGCAAATCGATGAGTAATGGGAAGTCAAGTGATCAAGTGATCAAGTCTTCGAGGTCATGCTTTCTTGATTTTGCTCCCACCCCTAGCAGCTCCTTCCCTCACATGTGGGCTGATTTCTTCTCTGAAATTAGGAGTAGTTGAGATTTGGTCCCAATTCACTGCACTAGGTGTCTCATCCCATCTCTGGACCTCATGTGCTAAACTCCCTTGTCCCCCACCAGATTAATTCTGGACCCACACAACTCCCGAGAACTCCAGACTCAATACCCAAATATCCAGGACTCCATGGATAAGGTCACTTGATTAATCTGGGAATTTGTCCCTCTACCCTTAAAAAAAAAAATAAAGCTCAAGGTTGGTATATGCTTCTGGGTAAATAAGTTTCAGAATGCACCCAGGAAAGAATACAATAGCAAGAAAGAATAGAAGAGATGACAGTTATGTGCTAGCTGCAAATGTGCCCAGGCAAGCATAGAATAAGGTTGTCTAGGGTCTTGTAGATGTAGCGGCAACATGGGAAAGAAAAAGTAGAATAGGGACCTGTCAAGACTTTACATTTTAAGGGCCCTCCTGATTGCTACGTAAAAGGCCTCAGCCTCTGCTCTTCACGTACTGACTGAATGTTTGTGTTCTCAGTGACTGCCCCCAATGTCTCTGTCTATGACAGCTCCCCATGGGTGCAGGAGAACAACACTGTGTTGGAAACTGGCCTGTCGGTGAGGCCAGTGCTGGCTTCCCAGGTGACCTAAGGCTTGGATGGTCCATGTATCTATTGTTTGTCTCCTTATGTTTATCTCCTTATGTGTGTTTGTCTCATTCTCTGTGACTAACCCCCCACTGGATGGAGTCCAGGTATCAATCCATTGGCTTCAGACAGTGAATGTGCCCCCAAAGGAAGTTCTTTGTCATTGCCTTTGCGCTGAGTGTCCCACAACACTCCTGAACACATGGGCGTCATTCTCGATGTCCCGTTCGCCAGAATCCTGGCATCTTTGCCTCCAAGTGGTGTTGAGAGTACAATCACACAACACGGTCTCTCGCGTGGCTCACTGCAAAGCCACTTCGCTGAACGAGAGTTCATTCTCTACTGACACTCTGAGCATTCAAGCAAGATCATGCTGTTTCTCTCCATAAGATTCCTCAACCACATCACCTTCTCAAAATGGTTAGCTCCCGGTGGAAAATAAATACTTTCTCTGGCCTACCAGGTCCTCCTTGATGGACAACTCTGGTGATCACCAACAGCACAATAAAAAGAAAGGGAAAATGGAAAAACACAGAAAGCGAAACAGTGGAAGTGGTTAATAATCATGCCTAGGAGGTAATTAAGAGAGGAAGAGGGAGCAGACATGGAAAATGGAATGCTAAACAACATTCCATTGAACAAATGGAATGCGCGTGAACAAATAAATCTGATAATTACAAAATAGGGAAAAAAGAACTGAAATATTTTACTAATTCAAAAAGGACTTTCCATAAATCAAAAAAGTCATACATGGGGGCAGTAGCAATAGTACAGTGGTTAGGGCATTTGCCTTGCACGTGGCAGACCCGAGTTCGATCCCCACATCCCATAAGGTCTTCCGAGTACAGCGAGGCATATTTCCTGAGTGCAGAGGCAAGAGTAACCCCTAAGCATCACAGAGTGTGACCCAAAAAGGCAAACAAAAAAAGACTGAAAAGAGTTCATATATGTTCAAACCAAGTTCCCGGAAGAGAACAACACAGAGTCTCCTGCCCCCATGCCTGGCTGTCCTCACCGGGGGCCCTTGGAGGAGAGCGGGTTGAGTTTCCCTCTCCCTTCCGAGCAGAGCCTCGGCAGCTAAAGACCTTTTTTCCATCTCATTCTTTCCTGATCATCCCCTTTAAATGAGTTTCTAAGGAAATAAAGTGAAATTCAAATTTATTTCTTTTTTAAAAATTATTTATTTATCTAATTTTATTTTTGCTTTTTGGGTCACACCCAGTGATACTCAGGGGTTCTCCTGGCTCTGCACTCAGGAATTACTCCTGGCGGTGCTTGGGGGACCATATGGGATGCTGGAAACCAAACGTAGGTCAGCCGCATGCAAGGCAAACGCCCTACCCACTGTACTATCACTCCAGCCCCTCAAATTTATTTCCTTATGAACTTAGTTGCCATCAAACCATAAATCAATACTGCCCCACTTCATATGCAGCTATCTGTATCCAGGTGCCCTGAGCACTGTTGATATATTCCTGCTGGAAATATCACGGTCACGGTCCTCCCGTTGTTCATTGATTTGCTGGAGCGGGTCCAGTAACGTCTCCATCGTGAGACTTGTTGTTACTGTGTTTGGCATATTGAATACGTCATGGGTAGCTTGCCAGGCTTTGCCTTGCGGGCGAGATACTCTCGGTAGCTTGCCAGCCTTTCCGAGAGGGGCGGAGAACCCGGCTTGGCCGGGCCGGCTGCGCACAAGGCAAATGCCCTACCACTATGCTATCGCTCCAGCTGGCAGTATAATGACAAATAAGAAGCTGTATGTAATGAGAATTATGAAACTGTAATGAACATTAAGAAAATGTGATGGGGACTGAGAAACTGAAACTGACCCCCTAAATTAAACAAGAGAAAGGAGGGAGAAGCATTCCTTTTATGACCCCAGTGAATGGAGTTAAGGGCCCACTAGCCCACCCGATTTATGGGAGTGTACTGGGCCCGACAGAATTATGGGAGCACCCAGGAGATGGTACCTGAAGGCCACACCAAAGGGGCAAGAGATACTGACACTGACTGTTTTCCTTTGGGGCGCCTGAAGGCCTTACCATGTGGGAAAAATGCATAGATTGGTTTTCTTTTACTTATTACCTCTGTATCCCATTTCATTGATAAGAATGTACATAGACTATAGCCCACCTTTAGAGGTCAGAAGAGAGACCCTCTCAGCA